TGAGTCGATGCAATCAGCTGGTTTTCCTTAGATAGAAAACCTTGAATCAATCTGACTGTAAGATCTGGTTGATCTGGATCTATAAAGTGACTTTCTGCTCTTCACCCAAACATTCCTCAGATCAACCAAACAATGAATAATATGCAGGGAGGAACTGAATCTAGTAAAGAAGAAAAAGGCAAAAAAAAAAAGTTTGAAAAGTTTTTATTCATTAAATTTCTTGGTCAGTTTACAGAAATGTTGCTAAAATCTTTCTAAACTGAATATTTTGTTACTAAGTGAAGTTCATTAATGAATGAAGGTTCTGCCGTTTGTCCTCATTTAAAACACACATGTTGTTGGTCACGCTGATCACAAGTCAGCCTGAACAAACAGATGCTGGAGGCAACATCTGGAGTCATAAAAGCTGCTTTTAGTTCCTGTAAAAACCTCCGAGAGTCTCATGTTGGTTTGCAGCAGATTCCTGCCTGGAAGAGTTGATCAGCTGCTGCAACACGTCAGCAGGAAACATCTATTTCTAAGATCTACACCCTGTTTCCTAGAAAAAACAGCCGTCACTGAAGCCAAAGAATATTTAAGCTTAAGGTTGTTTCTCATTTCTACAGATTCAGAGGCTTATTTTTTTTTATCAGTCAATCAATCAATCAATTGACTGATAAAAAGCAGCAGAGCAGGTGATTTTAATGATCAGTGGAGCAAATCTATGAAACACGAGTTAATGTCTGGAAAATAACTTTAAATATGTTATGAACATTTGCTGAAAACTAACCAGTTATGAAACTGAAGATCTTTTCTATTTTTGGCCCCTTTGATGAAAAATATTTAGTTTTATTCTTAATAAACACATTTTGTTTCTGTTTTCCAGTATAGATGTGTGAACCTGATTTAGGACACCAGATGAAATGTAGCTCTGGTTTTCATTCTGACATATTTCTGTTGAAGGATTTGCTGATGCAGCGATTCAGGTTTACTGTCCAAGTTAAATAAAAAATAAAAAGGTTGACGGATTAAGCTAACTGCTCCCTTTATTCTCATCCAGGTAACTTACAGGTTAAAGGTTTCATCATTAGCTTCAAAGTCCCCATCAGTTTATTTCTCCTTTGTTGCTTGATGGTGGTTCTCCATTTATCTCCTTAAAGCAGGACCAGAGCTGTGGGCTGATGACAGAGCAGAGAGCCGCTTCACTCGCTGGAGACATGAAACATAATAAGCCGACAGCAGAGAAGCTTTCAGCACCTTGTGTGTCTCTCATACGTAACTCTTAACTCCTTTAGTCCCCAAACATCACATAGAAGCTACTATTGCTGCGGCCATGAGTGATAGCCTGGGTCACCTGTGAAGTCCTCTTCGTGGTCTCTGGGGTGAAGGGTTAGGGTGAGGCTGCAGGGTTAGGGTGAGGCTGCAGAGTTAGGGTGAGGCTGCAGGGTTAGGGTGAGGCTGCAGGGTGAGGCTGCAGGGTTAGGGAGAGGCTGCAAGGTGAGGCTGCAGGGTTAGGGTGAGGCTGCAGGGTTAGGGAGAGGCTGCAGGGTTAGTGAGAGGCTGCAGGGTTAGGGAGAGGCTGCAGGGTTAGGGAGAGGCTGCAGGGTGAGGCTGCAGGGTTAGGGAGAGGCTGCAGGGTGAGGCTGCAGGGTTAGGGAGAGGCTGCAAGGTGAGGCTACAGGGTTACTGAGAGGCTGCAGGGTGAGGCTGCAGGGTTACTGAGAGGCTGCAGGGTGAGGCTGCAGGGTTAGGGTGAGGCTGCAGTTTTAGGGTGAGGCTAGAGGGTGAGGTTGCAGGGTTAGGGAGAGGCTGCAGGGTGAGGTTGCAGGGTTAGGGAGAGGCGGGCGGGTTATCTCTGGTGGAGCAGCGGTTGCTGTGCATCCAGAGGGTTGATAAGCCGCTCATTGTTGCAGCGTCGCTGTCATATTTAGGTCATGCTCTCATTGTTCTGCCTCCTCCTCTCTCTGTGTGAATGCATGTGGGGCTACGTGCTGCTGGTGTCTAAACAAAACGCCAACATCTCCTCCAGCTCCTGTCACCCAGTAGAAGGACTGAGAAAGAAAGAACGCAGGATTATAGATCAACCAAAGCTGAACATGGATCCCAGCTTTCCATTTAAGTCAGACATTAGAGCAAAGCTCCATCATCAGGCGGCAATATGATTGACAGCAACACTAGCATGCTTATGCTAACAGGTGTTTAGAGCTAACCTCCAGCAAATGGGGACGACCCGTTCCAGTGGTCTCCAACCCTGGTCCTCAAGATCTACTGTCCTACAGATTTTAGATGCATCCCNGAGAGGCTGCAGGGTGAGGCTGCAGGGTTACTGAGAGGCTGCAGGGTGAGGCTGCAGGGTTAGGGTGAGGCTGCAGTTTTAGGGTGAGGCTAGAGGGTGAGGTTGCAGGGTTAGGGAGAGGCTGCAGGGTGAGGTTGCAGGGTTAGGGAGAGGCGGGCGGGTTATCTCTGGTGGAGCAGCGGTTGCTGTGCATCCAGAGGGTTGATAAGCCGCTCATTGTTGCAGCGTCGCTGTCATATTTAGGTCATGCTCTCATTGTTCTGCCTCCTCCTCTCTCTGTGTGAATGCATGTGGGGCTACGTGCTGCTGGTGTCTAAACAAAACGCCAACATCTCCTCCAGCTCCTGTCACCCAGTAGAAGGACTGAGAAAGAAAGAACGCAGGATTATAGATCAACCAAAGCTGAACATGGATCCCAGCTTTCCATTTAAGTCAGACATTAGAGCAAAGCTCCATCATCAGGCGGCAATATGATTGACAGCAACACTAGCATGCTTATGCTAACAGGTGTTTAGAGCTAACCTCCAGCAAATGGGGACGACCCGTTCCAGTG